CTTTTCCCTAATTCCATGCAGCACTTTAAACAGCTCCCCTTCTGGCTTTACAAAGAGCCATAAAAGCAGAGCTGGGGATTGGCAGAGTTTGGGATCAAAAGAAGGAGGCTGTGGGATGTGAGGGGGATCAAACTACATCAGATTCAGGAGCCAGTGTGGGCACTGGCATGGAAACAATCCATGTGATCACCTAATCTGAACAGGAGTATCAAATAGGCTGTAAATAACAAAGCTAAATTGCTCTCATCTGACGTGCCAGCCTCAGTCTCTTTCTAGATTTCCTATTTCTCCTTTCCATCTACAATTTATTCTGTTCCTGGATCAACTGTCATTGCTGCTTTACTTATAATACATTCACAGCTCACTCGTACATAGCAAAGACAATGGTTTATCCAGAATCAGAATCCCTGAATAATTGAGTTGGAAGGGCCCTATAAGGCCATCGGGTGCAACCCCCTTCTCGACGCAGAAATCCAAATCAAGGCAGATCTGAGATAGTGTGGTCCAATTTTCTCTTGAACTCCTCCAATGTTGGACTGCTCACCACATTCTGAGGTAATTGGTTCCGTTGAGTTGGAAGGGCCCTATAAGGCCATCGGGTGCAACCCCCTTCTCGACGCAGAAATCCAAATCAAGGCAGATCTGAGATAGTGTGGTCCAATTTTCTCTTGAACTCCTCCAATGTTGGACTGCTCACCACATTCTGAGGTAATTGGTTCCGTTGATGTGGAGAAGTTTTTTCCTGATATTCAGCCTAAATCTAGCTTCCTGTAGCCTGAGCCTGTTATTACGTGCCCTGCACTCTGGGATGATAAAAAAACAGACCCTGCCCCTCCTCTATACGACTGCTTTTCCAGTATTTGAAAAATACTATCATATTTCCCCTTTGCCTTCTTTTATCATATTTTATTATATTGTCCTTAGCCGCCCACAGTGGCCTGGTTGCTAGATGGTGTGCGGTATAAATCCAATAAATAAATAAATATCAAGGCTAAATATGCCTGGTTCTTTCAGTCGTTCACCGTAGGGCTCAGCTTCCAGTCCTCTGATCATCCCTGTTTCCCTCCTCTGAACTTGTTCCATCCTTCTTAAAGTGTGGTGTCCAGAACTGGACACAGTATTCAAGACGAGGCCTAATCCTTGCAGAATAGAGGGAGACTAGCACCTCGTGGGATTTGGAGATTATACTTCTGGTTAATGCATCCTAAAATGCCATTTGCCTTTTTTTGCAGCCCGATCCCACAGCTGGCTCATATTTAGTTTGTGATCTAAAAGAATTCCATCTTGGTTATAGTATTACTGAACCAACTACCCTCCATCTTGTAACTGCGTGTTTGTTTTGTTTTGTTTTCCCCCAAAACGTAGAACTTTGCACTTTTTCCTGTTAAATTAAATCTGTTGTTTTCAGGATAGTGCTCAAGCCCATATTTATTTATTTATTTATTTATTTATTTATTTATTTATTTATTTATTTATTTATTTATTTATTTATTTATTTATTTATTTATTAGA